TGAGAAGAGTGATGATGATGATGGTCAGATGCAGCATTGATCATGATGATCCTGATGATCCTCACTACGCATCTCCAGCATCACCAGCAGTTACCGTGATGATATCCTGATGACAATCATCACTATGCATCCCCTGCATGCGCAGCAGCTGTCATATCAATCATGACTAAAATGCATCACTGCATTCCAAGCCGGGTTGAACGGCAAGCTTGAAACGTAGAATGCTGATGATCCGGATGCTGCGGCTAGTAAGAGATGATGATGATGACCATGATGATAATGATGATAAGGATGAGGACTGTGATGATAACTATCATCGTAGCATCCTCTGCATTGCCAATGCATCTAACGTTACTTTTGAAATGCATATAAGAACAAGAAAGAGATGATGATGACCATCATGATGATGATGAGAAGAGTGATGATGATGATCAGATGCAGCATCGCTCATGATGATCATGATGATCCTGATGATTATCACTACGCATCTCCAGCATCACCAGCAGTTACCGTGATGAAATCCTGATGGCAATCATCACTATGCATCCCCTGCATGAGCAGCAGCTGTCATAACAATCATGACTAAAATGCATCACTGCATTCCAAGCCGGGTTGAACGTCAAGCTTGAAACGTAGAATGCTGATGACCCGGATGCTGCGAACCCATCACCCAACATCAGTGGTGCTGATAAACATCACGAAGACAAGGACGAATACAAGCCCTTCCCATGCGCCTCCCCTTTGGAGAAAGGGGTCGGCGGATATGTATAAAGCTGGAGCATTGCTGAATGATGAAAACAGTTTTACTCGAAGAAAATAATGGCTTTGCAGGATCGGAACCTCCCTTCCCTCCTCTCCCCCGTCTCCTCCGTCTCCTCCGCCTCCTCCGCCTCCTCCCTCTCCTCCCTCTCCTCCCTCTCCTCCGTCTCCTCCTTCTCCCTCTCCCCCCTCTCCTCCCTCCTCCTCCCTCTTCTCTTCCGTCCTCCCTCTCCTCCCTCTTCTCTTCCGTCCTCCCTGTCCTCCGTTCCACCTTCTCCTCCCTCCATCCCTTCCGGACGATGGAGCTCGCGATTGCGCATACACATTGTTGAGAGTGATGGCTGTCAGAACCAAGCAGCTACCATGGTCGGCCACATCCCCTCCCCCCCCACAAGCAACAAGGTGCCTTTTTCCTTGGCCGCAACCCCTGCTCCCCCAGCAGATGCCGTCTGCACTAAGGAAGTGCATGCAAATCATTGCCACGCACCTTCCCGATGAGGATATCAAGGTGGGAAATGCGTGACATAGATTGAATTAGCAGTAGTGGACACGTGCTTGCCTGACTGAAAAAGTGAGTTTTCCCACTGCAGGACTTGGTCAAGATGTTTCAAACCTTGGACACCAATTCTGACGGGGCTCACTATCCGCATTAGTTTCTGTGGCCATCCATTTGGTAGATTGCGGCTTGGCCAAGACTAACAAATGAAGGCCTCTGCGATTGATCTAAGGAGGTGTCACTTGCAGAGTTGAAGCAGGCAATCGATGCGGCGAGCAAAAAGAAACGGTCCAAAGTCCGAAAGCCATCAGTGGCTACTCGAACGCAGTGTATGTATTCCAATTGCTGTGCCGGATGGCTCCGGGATGCATGGGTCCACGCCGCACGTGCACAAAACACCAAGGTATCGAATGGCAGTGACTGCGGATCGCCAGCTTCGCCTGTGAAAGAGGCTGATCTTTTGCGACTCATGGAGGCATGGATGGGCGCAGATCGGTTTCAGCAAGAGCTTATTGTAGGTTTATGCTGCGTGCGCATGGATTGGGTCTGTTTGCTGCATTTCGAGTGCTGGCAAGAGAGCATGCTAGTACCATTCCACGCAGAGGCTATGGACAGCAATGGTGACCAGCGTCGCTGTTCTTAGCTTGTTTTCACAGAATGCAAGCCCATTTGTCAGTCCTGGGATGTGTTCCCTGCGATGTAAGCTGAGGCATTGGATATACTGAGTTTCTTGCTGCATGTTTGGAGGACCACAGGGTGTGACTTGAGTGTGACTTGAGTCACCTGGTTGAGGAAGGCCGGTTGACATGGTCTGACTTCCAGGAGCGGCACTACACGCAGGAGGCTTGCCTTTGGCATGCTTTCAAGTTGCGTGGCAGAATTACTACGTCTTACTACGTTGGGTGTCTCCGGTGTCTCCATGAAATCGTGTCGACTTGTATCCTGTCATGCGACTGAGGTATTTTGATCGCAACAACGATGGTTGTATTTCTAGAAAGGACTGACTTATCGTGATTTTGGCTGAATCAGTTTCTTCCCAATGGTTTGCCGATAGGAGCTTTACGAGGCTTTGAAAGATGAAGAATTTGGTGGTTTGTTGCTGCCTCAGCTGAGGTTCAGTTGGGTGCTGGATTGTGCTAACTCAGCAAATGAGCTTGACTGCTTGCGTGTTCTCCGCAGCGACCAGGTTGCCGACAAAAGTTGTGAATGACATTGTGAGAGCTGGCGATTCTAATTGCAACCAGACCATCGACTACTACGAGTTCATGGCCCCTCAGCTTTTCAAGTCATGTTCGACACTGGAGCACGCAGGCCACCGCCACAACGGAAGCAACAGAAGACGTTGGGTAATGTTGGAGAAACATATGGGTC